TAGCCTACCATGTGCTGGGCACTGGGCTAAGCAGAGAGGATAATAATAGTAATAGCTAACATTACGTGGAACACCTACTATGTGCCGGGCAGTCAGCTAAGCATGGAAATAATGATAACTAGGACTTATTCTGCCTACTATGTGCTGGGTGTTGGGCTATGAATAGTGATAGGTAACATTTATAGAGAGCATCTTCTCTGCCGGGTGCTGTGCTGAGTGCTGGGGCAGCAGATTCAGGCACAAAACCTTCCCTGTTCATAAGGAGCTCAGCATCTAATGAGCAATAACTCTACCCAAACAACTCTAGACTGGATAAGCTGGAGATCCTCCCCGAGGGAAGGCACCAGCATTGCCCGGGATCAGGAAAGGCTTCCTGTAGAAGGTGGGGACTTGAGGGAGGCCAGGGAAGATAGGGAGAGCATTCCAGGCGTGGGTTTCCCTCATTTAGCAGATGCGGTCGCTTAGGACCGTGGAAGTTAAATGACTTGCCAGAATCCTAGGTTCATAGATGGAGAGCTGGAACCATCTAGGCCAATCCCCTCATTTTAGAAATGAGGGAACTTGGTCCCTGGGAGATTAATTGACTTGTGCCTAAGGTCACAAAGGGAATAAGGTTGGATTTAAACTCAGATCTTCATGACTCCAGGCCCAGCACTATTCTAACCTCCCAGGAGTAACTGAACCTCTCTGGGCCTCAGTTTCCCCATTTATAAAATGAGAGGATTGTACTAGATGGCCTCTAAGCTCCCGTACAACTCTGGATCTTGATCCTGTGATTTCATCTGTAGGGAGTTGCTAAAGTTGTCTTTAGGTAGTTACTTGGGGGTACTGAAAGGTTGATTGGCTCATCTCTAGTCTCACAGCTAGTATGCACCAGAGGCAGTCTTCCCATATCAGAGGCTTCCTCTTTATCACTACTCAGCATTTCTCCAGGAGATTGGATTTTGGATATTTCAGAGATAAGTGTTTTCATGGGAAGTTCTTCTAGAACTGGGATGATTTCATCTTCATATTCCCTGGTGCCTAGCACGTAGTGGGATACTGGAGGCATCCTCATTCAAATTTGTTGAATTGAATCACAAGCCTTGCATAATTTAGTAACTGAGCTTCAGGAATGTGGGGCCAAATGAAGCCTTTCCCTCTTGGTAGAACTCAGCCAAGGCTTGTGCTCCACGGCAGCAACCTTTATATGATCCCCCTCACAAACTTGCCTCTGCTGCCTCCCTAACTTAGCAGGGATGGTTGGTCCCCAAGCCTACACAGCCTGGGTTCCACCTGCTATAGAAGTCCTTTCCAGCATCCTTCCTCTTCCCCCCCCCCCCCCGTGTTTTTTCTTGTCTTTAAATTTGCATAACTTTGTTTTGTATTTATTAGTATATTGTATTTGTATATCACCCAGTGATGTGCTGGTAAATGTTTAACAAGCGGCTCCCTCTCTAACAAATGTCTCCCCCTCTTCAATGTACTTGTAACAACCTTTAAAGTTTAATCTCCATTATTAATTTTCATTATCACTTTCTTAAGTCCAGACAATTAAAGCAATAAATCAAACCCAGATTTGTAATGTTTGGAAATTTCCAAGGTACAAATGTTCCCAATGAGAATTTAACAATGGCTAGCTGGTTTGAGCTGGCTCCAGTCCTCCACTGGTGTCATCCCTCCCCCAGTGGAAGCTAGCTCCTTTGACTTTATTTCTCTTGGTGTTTACAGTTCCTTGCAAAGAGTGGATGTTTGAGAAGTCTTGATTGAATCATTGAACTAAAGAACCCAGAGTTGCTTCCAAACAGGAGACATCAAACTAGGACTTTAGTGGAGGTGACCTTCTAATAGATGTTCAGTTCAATAATGATTAATATGTATTGGGTCCTTTGCTAAGTGCCATGGTCCAAAGCTTGAAAGAGGACATGGTCCTTGTCCTTGGGGAGACTCAGAATCTTGGGTTCCAGAGGTCTAAGAGACCTTAGAAATCATCTAGACCAACGTCTGTATTTTGAGATGAAGAAGCAAGTACAGAAAGCAGACATTGACATTAGGCCACTGCCAGTGGAATGACTCAGGCATACGCAGTGTGACTGCTAGGATCTTAGAGGTCATTCCCACTTAGTTACAGGTTCCATTTGACTCTCATTTGTGAAGGGCCTATTATGTGCGGTCTCCTAGGGAAACAGAGATAAAATGGAAAAACGGTCCCTGCCTTCAAGAAGCTTACACTGTGTTGGGCTTGGCCTCAGAGGTCCACTCTGACTATGTGAGCCTGTGAGTCCCAGGTCTGAGACATGTAGACATGAGGTATGTATGATAAAAAAAGAATAGGTAAGTTCTTTTGTGTGAGTTAGTCACAGGCTGAGCTTTGGTGCATTGCCTTCTGTGCCTTTTTAGCCTCAGTGGCCTGAGGTGGTAGTGTGGCATAGTGGGGGGAGCGCTTGATGGGAGTCATGATGGCCTGGGCTCTAAAGCCTATGGCATTCTCCTAGACATTCTTCTGCTAGGGCTGTGCCTTATTGAGTCACAACCTTTTAGACCTTCAGTTTCATTTTCCATGACATTAGGATATAATTCCCATTGCTACCTCAGAGACACTTTATGTGATAGCACTCTGCAAATCATAAAACTCTAAGCAAATGTTAGGCGGTGTAATGATGATGATGGCTTACTGGTATTCTATTGTATTCCATATAGTTGAGATTTTCGGGATAAGTGGGATCTGATTGTCGTTGTGCTTTTATGGAGGGGAAACAATCATTTGGTTCACATCTACTGCTTCATTTCAACATGATTTTTGTACATTGCTTCCCATTTTTGTAGGTGCAGTCATGCAAGAAAGCATCAGATTTGCCTCATCGGGGGATGATATTAAAATATGGGACTCCTCCTCTATGGCGATGGTGGAGCAGTTCAATCCTCATTCGTCATCCCTTGGAGTCAGCTCTTTGTGCTGGAGTAGCAATAGTATCCTTTTCTTCATAAGAGCCTTGGATTATATTTGAGGTTGTTTTGCAGAAATCATTTGAAATGTAGAGTCAGGTACTTTAAAACAATTCACCTACTCTGAGGGAATGGAGAGGGTTGAGGATAAATGAGGTCAACTTAAAGCACAAAGGATGGTTTAGCCTAGAGAAGAGATAGTTTAAAACAGGGTTTCTTAACCTTTTTCACGTGTCATGATTCCCCTTTAGCAAGAGAATTTCTCCTTGTAATAATACTTGTTGCCTATTTTCACAATTAAAGGAAATGTTTCTTTCAGTTAGAAGCTAGTGAAAATAAAGATGTAATTCCCCCCCTTCCCCCCCACTTCTAGACCCCTAATTTAGAAGGAGAATATGGTAACTATATATATTTAAAGGGTTGTTGTGTTCAAGAGGTGTTAGTCTCACTCTGCTTGGCCCTAGAGTCGACAGTTAGGACCAATGGATAGAAGTTGTATCGAGACAAGTTTTGGTTTAAGAAGAACTTACTAACAGGTAGAACTGCCCCCTAAAAAACTTGAAAAGGAGAATTATACTTTCAACAGGGAGTAGGACTAGATCATCTAAAGCCCCTTGAAACTGGGATTTATCTTGTGTGGAAATTGGCAGCATTTTAAACAAATTAGTGAAGGCACATGATAAAGGTTTGACTCTGGAAGAGGTGGAACGTTGCCCGGTTATTCCAACCTCCTGCTGTGTTTAGAACTTTTCCTTTCTTTTCTATCTTGGCTGAAGATTAGTAACCTCATCTCTTAAAATGGTGCAAAGCACCAGCTTGAACTTGTCTGTCAGGGTTCTAAATTCACACGATTTATCTCCTTTGTATTAGGAGAAATAATTAGAATCAGAGTATCAGAATGTTTAGCAATAGAAGGGACCTTAAAGATCATTGAGTCCCAATTCCTTCATTTTATTCTTTGAATTTTTATTGATAACTTTTGTTTTTTTTTTTAAATCACCTTCATTTCTGAATACATTTTTATCTATTGAGAGAACCATTCCTTTTAGTAATGAATAAAAAAAGACAGGTTAAAAAAAGCAGAACTAAACTGACATACCACCGAAGTTGACAGTATATATAATGTTCCACACCCGTAGTCTTCCACTACTGCAAAATAGAAAGGGAGGAGGGTATGTGTGTGTGTGTGAGTGAATGTGTATAAATATATCTATCTATCTATATAGTTGTACACACACGTATGCATTCATGTTTCATATGTTTTTCATATATTTTTCTCCATGACTAAGCTTGGTCATTTTAATTACATAACATTCTGGTTTTGTTTGTTTGTCCTTTGCATTTATACTATTACAGTCCTTTGTGTGTATTGTTTTTCTGATTCTACTGACTTCACTCTGCATCAGTCCAGATGAGTCTTCCCATGCATCACTGAAATCTTTCTATTCATTGTTTCTTGTGGTACACTAACATTTCATTCTGTCCACAAGTCACAGTTTGGTTAGTTGTTCCCTGATTTATTAAACTTCATTTTACAGATGAGCAAAATGAGACCCAGAAAAGGCTTTGCCAAAGGTAATGGTAGAGTTGGGACTAGAGACCCAGTTTGCTTCCTAATCCATTGTTCTTTCTGCCACACCACTATTATGCATGGGCAAGGTAAAATGAAGAGTGAAGCTTTTAAATAAAGAATTTTATTCCCTCCTTTACTTAATTACGGCAACAAGGATTTTGAAAATACAGTTTCCTGCGGAGAAGCTAAAATTCAACAGTTGATTTTCCTGGAACAAAATCCCAGTACTAAGAGTTTATTTGTTAGAATGTCTAAGGCATTTAGAAGAGCTTTATGAAGCCCTCTTTGTAACCTTTAATCTTAATACCTTGATCGTAAGGATAATGGAAATAAGCTGTGATTTCCTAAAGCATGAATTTTGCTTGGATTTAAATTTCTCCAGCCATCAGACACTGTATCTTCTTGTCTATAGTAGCCATTTGTTGTTTGTCAGGAAGACTGAAATAAGAATACAGTGTCTACGCTTCTGTGACACAGTTATCCTAAACTTTAACATCCTTGTCTTTTAAATACTGCTACAACTCATTGGTTTCTATTAAAGCTAACCTAAGTTATTAGTTGTTAAAACTACACTAGAACTTTTCTGAAGATACTATATTACAGAAGTAGAATCTTAACTAGATTAAGAAAATTTAATTCATTCTATGAGGCTTTTGAACTCTTTTTTTAAACTTCCAGTGAAGACTAGTATTTTTCATGAATTCAGTACTTTCTAAGAATTAGTTATTAATTTGTTTAATTTTGTCAGAAAAATCCCTTTTTTCTGTGTTGCTACATCGGGTGTCAGAAGATCTCACATATACAGTAAATGCATTATTCTGTGAAGACACTCTAGACTGGTCTTGCCAGATAGGTTAGAATTATTTTCCTTGTTAATTGGAACATAAATTTGCAGCTGGAAGAGACTTTCAAGGCCATTGGGTTTAAGCCTCTTGTTTTGTGAATGAAATAAAGGCTGGCTGAATGACTTGGCCATGCAACTAGTGAGTGTCTGAGTCCAAGATTTCCACCTAAGGCTTTGTCACTCCAATCATACTGTTTTTATTGACTTCTGAAAGTAAGAAAGGAAAAATGTCTTTTACGTGCATGGGTGCATGTATATATGTGTGTGTATACACACACATGAATACTTATACACACACATATGTGACCTTCTTTTAGTTATCCTTTCTATTTTTTTCCGTGGGAAAGTTTGGGATAAAAGAATGGAAGGTAAGGGAGGAAAAAAGCAATCTTTCCAGTAATGTAACATTTAGCCAAAAATAAAAATACTACCTGTTCATTCAAGAAAAAAATATTTTCTTTATTCTAACTGCATAAGTAAATCACAAAGTAATGGCAGAATCTTAATTATTTTATGCACATCATTATGTGAATGAATATGAAAATTATCTCCCAGTAATACAATTTGGATTTCTAGAGTACAAAAAAACTTGTTCTCCCTCTTAGTTTCATCTAGACCAGAGATGGGGAACCTACGGCCTCAAGGCCACACATGGTCCTCTAGGTCCTCAAGTGCTGCCCTTTGACTGAATCCAAACTTCACAGAACAAATCGAGGCCTCAGGTTCCCCACCCCTGATCTAGACATAGTCTGTGAAAATCCACAAAAACAAAAAAAAAACAAAGAAAGAAAAATGTTTCTAAGCTTATAAGACTTTCACTTACTGCTTGCAAGCAAAGTAAAATTCTCATTCTTAGTTACAGTTCAGATTTTATAATTTTTGTTACTTGAGATTAAAGAAATGCTTAACTCAATTGTTTTTTGCATTATTTATTTCTTATTCCATTTTGTAAGAAAGATTTAGTAGGGTCAGCTAGGTGTTGCAGAAGATAGAGCAACCAGCCTAGAGTCAGGAAGACCTGAATTCAAATCCAACCTCAGACATTTAACTAGCTTTGTGACCCTGGGCAAGTCACTTAACACCAATTGCCTGCCCTCCTTCTAAAACAAGAAAGATTTAGTGGTTCTTCCTCATATTAAAATTGAGTTGTTTTAACATTATGTTTACTGTCATTACCATCCTTCTCATATTCTGTACCAGATTATTTATCTTCAAATTTTTAGCAGAGAACTGAGAAGTAGTTTGGATTTATTTAATCTTTCTGATGGGGGAAAAATAGGATGATATAGTTGAGAATGCTTTATTCTGTTAATTGGCATGTGACGATCAATCAGCAGACATTTATAAAGTGCTTGCTATGTGCCAGGCACTGTGCTAAGAGCCGGAATGTAGTGAAAAAAGAGGCAAAAGATAGTCCCTGCCTTCAAGGAGCTTACACTCTAATGGGGGAGATAACTTGCAAACAAATATCTACAAAGCAAGCTATCTGCAGAATCAGTACGAAATGTTTAATGGAAGGAAGGCACTAGAAATAAGAGGGGCTGGGGAAGGCTTCCTGTAGAAGGTGGAATTTTAGTTGGGACTTAAAAGCCAGAGAGGTTAGTAGTCAGAGCATGGAGGAGGGAGAGCATTCCAGGTATGGGGGACAGCCAAAGGGAATGCCCAGAGCAGAGAGATGGAGCATCTTGTTCGTGGGACAGCCAGGAGGCCAGGATCTGTCTTGAGCCCAAATTCATAGATGAGATGTATTGATAATAGCTGCTATGGCTTTTGAGCTTACTGTGATATTTGAGAGATAAAATTTGAAATGCTGACTTGCCCTTTAAAAAAGAAGGCAGACTAGAGAAATACATTTATAAATGCTTTCAAGTGCTAGTACAACCAGAAGTGATAGTGTTTACTGAGACAACTTTAAAAAGCAGCAGTCTACCAGTTCTTAATATATTTCTTTTAACATTCTTCCAAATTTAATACAGTAGCTCTTTCTCTTTCAAGCTTTTGCTTCTGCTCTAAAACTATTTAGTTACAAATGAACTTTGAGTAGATTTTCATGTACTGTTTGGTGTTCCATAACTGTTCATTTAGATAATTTTTTGGTGACTGCATCTGCCAGTGGTGATAAAATAGTCATTTCCAGTTGCAAGTGTAAACCAGTTCCACTTTTAGAGCTGGCGGAAGGGGTGAGTATTCCTGAGTTTTTTCCTTTGGTCCTTATCTTGCTTCATTCCCTGATAATATGTGGCACTTGTACCTAATTACAAAGATAGTTTATCAAAAAGTTTATCATTCATTAAGAACTATATGTTAAATACAAAAATATGCTACAATGTAATACCTCTTAGCAAAGAGAATATTCCATAATAACAAGCTTCCTTTTTAGCTTCCTACCAGAAAGGAGAATCACTATAGAAGGTATGGTGATGTATTATTCTAGGGCTTGCGTTCCCTTTGTCTAATTGAGACATCTTACTTTTTCCGTTTGAGGAACACTGGCCCCATGACTTTCTGTGCTGCTCAGTGACTGTTTTAGGAGGCTGAGTGCGGCTAGGACCAGTCTGACGCCCAGATGATCAGAACAGTCCTAGCTGTGGGGATTCATCCCTCCTTTTGGCCCTGGTTCATCTCCCAGGGGCCTTACCTCAACTGGTACTAACTACCTTTTCCACTGCTATCATCACCTTGAATGTAGTGCTGGGAAGATTGAACCTGCCTTTATGCTCAGCCCAGCTTTGTTAAAAAGAGCAGTATCCCAAAGAGATTTGTTAGTTGAGGTATCTTGTTTCTTCCTGATTTTGTTTGGATTATAGAATATACTTTTAAGATAATACTGCCTTGCTTAGTTTTATTGTTACTGTCTTTAGAGCATTGTTATATCTATTTTAAAACCCTTGGAATTACCACAATCCGTAGCCAGTGGGATAAACAGTTTAATCCGTTCAGAATTCTGTCTCAGAGGGTATAATCCAGTTCGGCTTAGAGGTTAATCAGCATTTTTTCTCCTCTCCTTTGTGGTAAACAATAGGCTGGTTAGGCTGATAGGTAGGGAAAACACTAATCCATATTCTTAGCCACCTGTGCCAGAAGTTGATTAAATGTGGGAGAAATCTCCCCTATAAAAGCAGAGATAACTAGAAGCAATAGAGAGAGATCTCAGCTGCTGGGAGGTATAAAATACATCATCACTGGTTTGGGAGAGAACTTTTGGGGGGCCATAGTCAATTAACATGCTCGATTATATGGTATCTCTGCCATTTCTGTACCATTGGATCCCAATGATTCATTCATCAAACATTAGTTAAGTGCCAACTAGAAGCAAGTGTGGCTTGGAATTAGAAGAGCTGAACTTAGAGTTGGAAAGACTTAAGTTTTACATCCTGCCTTTGATACGTAAAACCTGGGTGACCCTGGGCCAGTCACTTAACTTTGATGTCCTTCAGGCATTTCCATAGGGTTGAATAGTACATTATAAAGCACCCTGCTGCAAAGGTTATTATCAAGCATGGGAGATAAGACTGGTATATAGAATAGAGCGAAATACCAATGAGAGGTACAAATAAGGTACCATTAGTCCCGTTAGTAGAAAGCTAGGTGGTTCAGGGGATAGAGCACTGGGCCTTCAGTCGGGAAGACCTGAGTTCAGATCTGGCTTCAGATACTTACTAGCTGGGTGACCCTGGGCAAGTCACTTTACATCTGTTTGCCTCATTTTCTTCATCTGTAAAAAGGGGATTATGATAGCACCTCCCTCCCAGGGTTGTTGTAAGGATCAAATGAAATAACAGCTGTAAAGTACTTGGCATATAGTAAAGGTGATATGAATGTTAGCTATTATTGTTGTTGTTATTGCTATTAGGATCAACCTTCTCTGTATTTCTTGACTTCTTTCTTTCTTTATGTTTCCATTGACCAGCACCATGCTGTAGGCCCTTATTGCCTCTCAACTGGGCTACAGTAGTAGCCTCCTAACTGGCTTCCTTGTTTCAAATGGCCCTGCATTCCATTTGTCCTGAACAAGTAGTCTGCCTTCCCTTCTTAATAGGCATCTGATCCCATTTCCGTTACCTAGAATGGCCTCCTGGATAAAATTGAAAACACCTAGCGTGGCTTTCAAAGCTATCTGTAATTTGGTTCCAACCTGTCTCAGACTGCTTCTCTTTGTGGACTCTGTTCCAACTAAATTGGACTACTTACTACATATTGGATGTTTTATGTTTTCCTGCCTTTCTACCCTTAGCTCTTCGGAAAGAGCCTGGAATACCCTTCTCGTCCATCTTTTTGAAATCGGGATTATTCTCCAAGGGCGACTTGAAGTACCACTTTCTCTGTGAAGCCTTCTTTGGTCTACTGCAACTGATAATGATTTCCCCTCATTTATGCTGCAGCTCTGGGCCCTCTTATGCACTTATATTCTCATTTGTATCATGTTTGTTCACGTAGGTGTAAGAGATACCTCATAGATTATAAATGGCTTGAGGGCAGGGTCTTTATGTTTATCTTTGTAGCTTTCCTGTTGCCTAGCACAGTGCATAACATTGAGCAGGTGCCAGATAAATGTTGGAATGAGATTCGGAGGCAGATGATTCATTTATAGCTAGTTACTCTGCCTCATCTACATGGGTAAATGTTTGAAAATTTTGAATCAACTAAAGCACTAAACTTAAGCAAATATTCAAAGACAATATCTTTTAAAAGATAAACTAATATTGAAAATATTAAATATTTTTATATGTTCTGTTAAATATTCTTGTAACATGGACTTATTTAACACCTGCTTTATTTTTGCATCAAAAAATATGCCCATTGCTTGAAAAATCTTGGGAGTACAAGATCTCAATTCTAAAAAATCCATTACTTATGTTTCTTAGTCATATTAATGAAACCTTAACATCAAAACAACTCTTCTCTGTTCCTCAGGATAAGTTAACTTGTAAAGATGGATTTTTTTACTGTGCCTTACAGGTTAGTTAGAGATTTTTAAGACAACTGAAATCTAAAGATGTGAGTCTTCTAAGCCTTTGCCTGTCTTTTCCTTAAAGTTAAATTTCTAACTGTTAATATGAGGGGTCTGATTGTAGCTCTCCAAAAGAGAGAGAGACAAGAGACAGAGAGACAGACAGAGAGAGAGTTGGGAGGAGAGAGGGAAAGAGAGAGAAATTAGGATTAGTCTTGGTACTAATCTTACTGTTTTGTTTAGAATGAAGTGACTTCTTTGAATAGCACTTGCAAATAAATGACAACAGGTATTCTGTAGCTCTAGAGGTTTATGAGTTCTGTAACCAGTGACTATTTTGAACAGAAAACTAAAACACCTTTCCAGTTAATGCCAGGCTGCTGGAATAATTTTAGGTGAAAAGCATGGCCTCTTGGAGGTTAAGCTGTCTGACTTCCAGAACACTTTATTGTAGATCTAACTTGCAGAGATCATAGAATTATGGCAAAGAAAGAAACTTAATTTGTACTGTGAAGATCAAAGTCCTAATCATGCAAAGTTGGCTGAATATATTTGTAAGTAAATAGAGAGCTTTTCTTCAGACCATCAGTCTATAAGAACATTTGTGCTTAGTAAAATTTATGCTTGCTCTAATGTAATTTGAGAATTTTAGCAAGGTAAATGCTTTAAGGACCCATAATTTCTTTGCTGTGGATATTTTTTCCACCTAATGCTGCAACCCTTCCATACCTTAACAGACTTCTGTTCAAGAATTACAGAGCCCAAAAAACCTGTCTCTTTGTGGACAACATCATGAGCCTTTCTGATCTTAAACCAGGTGGGTCTTTGGGCAGCACCTTTCTTACTGGACCTTTTCTCAGAGACCTTCCAGTTTAGTGGGATCTGTTTGTGTTCCTCTCGCACAATAGTAGAGGACCTAGAGCCATCCTTGTTGCATGGTGAGGAATTGGAGGAGGATCTGAGTGGAAGAATAACAGAGTAATTAATACCTGCTGTCTGTAGAGCACTTCACAGTTGAGAAAGGTTTTCTGTATAATTCCTCGTTGGATCCTCAAATGTCCTTGGGAAACAGATGGTACAAGTTGGTTGTTTTCCCCTTTTTACACTTGAGGTACCTGAGCCTCAGTTTTCTCAGTGACTTACTCAAGGTCATGTGGCTAATAAGAATTGGAACTGGGATTAGAACTCAGGTCTTGTGCTTCTTTGGCCCTTCTTTCCACTGTGCCTTTTTGCTTCATATAATAGGCTGATGAACTAACAGGCTAATGACCCTGATGGCAAATATGGTTGGCAAAGACCAAATAAGACCTCTGAGAGAAGCTGCCTGGCCACCTCCATTTTATGTGACTAGAATCTCAGTTGCTTTCCTTTATGCCTCCTTTTTGGTCAAGCATCTATATAATTCTGCTGTTGCATCTAAATTAGAAGATGTTGATCTGAAAATCCTTTAAATAGCTTGATATTTGAGGAGCTTTCTGTACCTGCCATTAGACTCTTCAGAGATGAACCTTTTGGTGGTAAGCCCTTTCCTATCCATTGAGGGAGTGATTTCAGTTCATCTTCAAGGCTTTTCTGATAGGTTAGAATGAATGGAATGCAACTCTTATGAAAATCTTTATAGGCCCATCAGTGTTTGATTATTATAGTCAAAGGCAATTGAAGGGTGCTCATGGAGACATTGACATTTCCTAACCAAGCTCAAGAGCTTGTGGATTTCCTAAAACAAACAAACAAAACAACTCAACTCTGTAAGGTACTCTCCAATGTAGAAAAGGGTTTTATTCCAAAGGTTCACTAGTAAGTTGGTTGTTTGAAACTCAAATTGTATTTCCCTTTAGCTATTATAAATGGTGGTCAGGCTCCCCAGCTAGCACACAAAAAGCCTTTTGAAATAAGTGTCTATGGGTCTTGAGCCCTGAGGCCAGCAGTGGGGAAGGCTGTGCAATTCCTGAGGTGTAGTAAGAGAACTCCTATGCAGGGAGGCTTGACCTTGGCACCTCTGGTAGCAAGATGCTGGGCATGGAGGGACGGGGCAGAGTAGAAGTTTTCTTAGGAGAAGGTTTCCTAAGTTGCCATAGAAGGATTCTGTTGCTGGGTGGAAAAGGAGTCAGTGTTTATAAATAGATAACTATCTGTAATGTTAAAATAAGTTGGATTAACAAAAATGGTCTATTGACTAAAAAGGAGTTCCATTTTCCATTATATTGTAAGTGAAAGAAACCTCTTTCATGACAAGATTTTAAGAACATAGTGTGTAGGCGTAATTCAGTGGGAGGCTCTGCCTGGTTCCCTGGCTTGGCTCTGACCTGTAGGTCATTGAAATGTCAGAATGCCCTAAGAAGAAGGCATAGCTGAAAATCTCTGAGGTCTGCTGGATCATTAATATTTGATACATCATAATGCTTAGTTATCCATTGAAATTATATTCTTGAGCATGTCAGTTTGGCATAAATGAAACACATGATGAGCTGTTGGGATCACCTGTACTGCCCCTGCATTGTATTCATGCTGTAAAGTAGAGCTAGGAAGATGGAGCTGGAGCCTGACGGACTCTTAAGTGGTTGAGTAGAGAAGTCCTGTGTAATGTAGGATGCGTTTGAGATCTAATAGCCAAAATCTTGAGCAGATGTTCTTGGTTTACTGAACAGATTCCCCCTTCCCCCTCCCACCTCCCCCCCAAAATTTGAAATTGGATTAATTTACGAGGAATACAGTTATTTAATTACATGTTAATTTTTTGTAGTTTGAATTTATGTGTGTGCACTACATTGAGTTTTGCAATTTTTTTTTTATAGCAAAAGCAGACATGTATAAACTTAAACTCTACGTCTATGTATCTGGTTAGCGGAGGCCTTGATAACACTGTTAATATTTGGGATTTAAAATCAAAGAGACTTCATCGATCCCTTAAGGTAAGAAATTTTTTATGTTGGTTTACCGACTAGAATTCTCAGAAAAATTGTGGCGTTTTTTTCTGTTTGCTGTACTAACCAAGTTTTGCTTTCTAAGAATTTTTAGCATTCAATCTAAAAGTAAGATGCTTCAGATTTTGTGAGACTCAGTAAAAAATAGATATTATTAAATCCTCTAGACACAAACCTCCTTTTCTTATATGCTTTTTCTTGAAAGTTATAAATTACTGTTGCATTTAAGCCTTTTTTCTTGTCTGTCTGTTTTAACCCAAAAATAGAAACTTCTTTTTTTTTTAATAAAATGAACCACCTCATCATTTTTTATTAAAGCATTATTTGGTATCACTACCACATTAATAAAAAAGAAAAGAAAGAGCTCTCAGATAAATGAGAGAGGGAATAGCAATAACAGTTGTTATTGGACCCTGCAAATCATCAGAATCAGGAATTTGACTCAGGTCCTCTAAAATAGTCTCCTGCTGCTGGGTTGTTGTTATTTGTTTTTTACATTAAAAACAACAACAACGTGGAATGTATTTTTCTTTGTTTTCAGTTTCTAAAATTGACTAAAATCTATGTGAATACCTATGAGTAAATTTTTATAATGGTCATTCCATCTTGGAAGTGAGGCAGATGAAAACCTTATTGACCTTGATGTCATTGAGTCAGTTCAGTATAGTTAGAGAAATGAACATTGCAAAAAGATGAATGATTTTCTGTCAGCTTTAATCATATCCTTCAAAATACCTGTAATACTAGAACTACTTTTGTAGTTAGCACCTTTTGGGGGAAGATGCCTGTTAGCTGAGATTGGAAGATGATCAACTTTTTACAATCTGTGTCTGACAGGTAAATGGAAAGTTAACGAGCTCTTCCTTAAAGGGAGATATAGGTTTTCTTTAATGTGGAAGTGATGTGGGGCAGCTAAGAGAGAACACCAGCCCTGGAGCCACACCAGCTGTGTGACTCTGGGCAAGTCATTTAACCCCAGTTGCCTTACCCAAAAAAAGAAAAAAAAAAGTGGATGTGATAAAATAAAACCATATTTAGATATATACATTTATTGGAGAGGAGAGAGAATGGGAGAGCATTCCCTGAATTGAAAAGAAATTAGGTTTATATCCTCAGTTCTATTACTTTATATGCCCAGGTTTTTAGGCAAGTCACATAACTATTGTGCTTTAGTTTCTACATTTGAAATAAGGAAAATATTAGTGTTTTTCTTAAATAAAAGATATTTGCATTGTACATTAAAAACAATTATTAAATATTAAAATATTAAAACAGTAGCCCCACTTCCTTTCCTTCCTCTCCCCTCCCCTTACAGTTATTGCCTATTTGAAGTAACAGCTATTCATTTGATTTAGAAAAGGAAAAAGAACATTGAGCCTTATAAGATGCTCAGAAAACCTTTTTGAATTAGATACTGGTAGGTTACATGAGGCCTAGCTTCATCTTCCTAGCTGCTAGAGCCACTCTTTCCACTCTGTTTACTTATCTATGTACATGTTGTCTGCCTCAGTAGAACATAAACTCCTTGAGGGAAGGGAGTGTTTCATTTTTATCTTTGTATCTATAGCACCCAGCACTGTTCCTGCCTTATGGTGCTTAAAAAATGCTTGTTGGCTATTGTTATAGAAAAATAGAGTAATGGCTTTTATCTTTCATATTAATGCTAATCAGATCATTACTAGCTATCTGAGAGCGAGCTGGTTTTGTATCATGAAAGATCTCTGGTGCCAAATTATCACCTCTCTCTGTCCAGCCCTAACTTTTTCCTGAAATGAAGGAAATAGACAATCCCCATGGTTTGTTATTAAGTATTCCCTTTCTCCTAACCCTGCTTCTCCCCCCCCGCCCCCACATCCAAAGAATACTCATTGCTGTATAGAGATCACACTAGCCTTATATAATTTTTAGATAGAAGGACATGCTAAAATGAAAACAGTCTTAGATTGACAAAAAAAGTAATGTAACAATCAAATAGGCTGTTAAAACAAATTTTAGGCATTGTGTTTTAATTTATCTCTTTCAGGATCATAAAAATGAAGTAACTTGTGTATCGTTTAATTGGAATGATTGCTACATTGCTTCTGGATCTATAAGTGGTGAAATTATTTTGCACAGCCTAACTACCAATTTATCCAGTACTCCCTTTGGTCATGGTAATGGCCAGGTATAGTATGGGCGTTAATTAAACTTTTATTTCAATTTTGGATTATTGCATTTTAAATGGTGAAGGCAAGCCAGAGTTTGTTGGTTGAAATTGGTTTTTCAACCTGTTTTGAAACATTTTATATTTCTTATTTTAAAAGTAGTAATGCTTAATAATGTTCAAATGACTAATCATACAGATAATCTATATAAATATGTGGGATTTTTTGTTCAGTCATTTTTCAGTTGTGTCTGACTCTTTGTGACTCCTTGTGCGGTTTTCTTGGCAAAGATACTGGGGTGATTTGCCATTTCCTTCTCTAGCACATTTTACAGATGAGGAAACTGAGACAGACAGAGTTAAGTGACTTGCCCAGGGTCACACACCTAGGAAGATGAGTCTTCCTGATTTCAGACCCAGTACTCTATCCAAGAGCCTTAGCTGCCAGAAGATACAGTTAATATTATTCTATTTTGTCTGTTTGAGTATAAGCATATCAGTGTCCTGGGCATCAGCAGGTGGCATTGCTCTATAAATCCTGTCCCTTGATCTGAAGGTTTTATATAGTATTTCTGTTATAGTTCAGAAAACACTTGTACTTCATGTGCAGGAACAGGGAAAGATAGGTATTCATATTTACTAACATTTTTAATACATCTTATTGGTAGATAATAAAGTTTTTTATTCTTCTTTTTGTTTACAAAACAAAAGGTAACTTAACAAATAGCAAAACTTAACCAGGCTAATGTTGGAACATCAAGGATATTTTTACATAAAGGAAAAGATTGTTTCTGTGCTAAACACTTTTTTTCAGACTATAGTTTTTTTTTTATTTGCTGGAAAAGCCAGACCTTTACCAAAAGGGTTTTCTTCAAGTTCTTCATAAAAATGCATTTACCTTTTATGATGTATGGTGGCTAAAGTTCTTTAAATGGTGCTTTGCCATATTCGTATAGTTGCATTAAAATGTTGTGGGATTTTTTGTTGTTGTTTGCTTTGCAGTTACTGCCTTATGTGGACAATATAGCATGAGATGTGCACTTAGGCCCAACAGCACCATCCTAGTATTATGGAGGATTCACACATCATAGGATCGTAAAATGTGAGAAGCAAAAGTGATCTTAGAAGTCATCTAGTTATTTTACAGATGAAGAAACTGAGGCTAAGAGAAGATCAAAGACTGGCCCAAGGTCGTGTAATTAGTGGTAGATAAGGTGGATTTTTAGTCCCTAGGGAATACGCTTTTTTGTGTAGAAGGTTAGTCACAAAGTAGAATGTTTTTCCTGCACTGAAGTCCTCCTGACACACTGCCTCAAGGTATGCAGATGGCTCTGGGGGCTTGAAGGTGATAGGAGCACCTGGAAATTCTGGGCTAGAGGGAAGTATGAACTCTAAGACACAGGCTGTTGATGGAGACAGAATGCTACTTTTTGGCCAGCCCAGAGCAGTGGGGTTACTATGAGGTAAAGATCAAAAGGCATGGTGGCTTCAGATTGTGCACTCTTAGATTCCTCCTTTCCAGGGAAATAAGTTTGAACATTGATCATTAGATGGTGAGTTGCTTGAGATGAGAGCAAGGCTTGTCTTCCTTTCTCTTTGTATCCTCAGTGCTTAACCCCATACTTTGTACATAATAAGTACTTAATGCATGCTTTTCATTCATTCATCAGTGGGCAAGAGGAAGAGAAGGCTTTGATCAGAAGAGTGATATGACCAGGTGCACATATAAAGAAATCAGCTTGGCAGTGGTGTGGCAGAAGAATCAGGAAAGGTTCAAGACCTGATGTCATTCATTCAGTCTAATAGAGATTTAATTCAGTGCCTGCTCACTGTGGTACTGTGTACTAGGTACTAAGGATCCAGGGTCAAAAATGAAATAATCCTTGTCCTAAAGAAGCTTAATTGTACCAAGAAAGGCACGTGGGCAGTGAAACCAGGGGAGCTGTTGTTACATGTATATTTACAGGTGTGTAAATATAAGTTAACTTGAGGACAGAGCAACCTCTAGCAATTGAGGAGATGAGGAGAGGCTTCACTTAGTACCTTACCTTACCTTACCATAGTGGTACCTGCAGTGAAAGGTGGGGAAGCCTGTGCAAAGGTGTAGTGGCAACTTTTATTAAGCTCCTACTATGTGCCAGGCACTGTGCTAAGTGCTGATTATTACAAACATGAAAAAGAATGATGGACTCTGCTCTGAAGAAGCTTACAGTCTAATGGGGGAAGACCACTCCCAAAGGGGTTCTGAAGTGGTGGGCTGGAGAAGGCCTTTGTGGAGGTTTGGGGAAGAGCTCCTTGGCTCAGCCCTCCAGGGCTGAGGGCGCTGATGAGGGCTGAGGGCTGAGTTCTTGAGTCTCTCAGGGTGACAAGGTTCCTGGGCTTCTGATAGAGAACTCTAAAGGAGTGTAGCCACAAGTGGAAAATGAAAGTACGTGAAAAAGTGAGTGAGACAGGTTGGCTCACATGCAGAGAATGTTATGAGAAGTCATATTCAATAAGTCTGGAAAGGGAGGTGAGCACCAGGTTGCAAAAGGCCTTGAATGCCAAGTTGAGGAGTTTCTGTCTTATTCCAGAGGTAGGAGGGAGCTACTGAAGAATTTTGAGCCGGAAATGACCTGCTCTTATCAGTGTTTTAAGATTGAATTGGCAGCTGTGGGAAGGATGGGTTGGAAAGGGGAGAAACAGGAGGTAGGTGGACCCATTAGAAACCTCTTAAAATGGTTCAGAAATGAGGGCCTGAAATAAGGGGGTTGGAATTGGGAGTGGAGAGAAAGGAACAGACACTCAAGAGATTGTGCCAATGCGAGTGACAAGTGTTGGCAACTTATCGGTACAGGGAGAACATCAGTTTTGTATCTGAGGTTGTAAACATAGGTGGCTGCTAGAATGGCGGTGCTCTTGAGAGAGATAGGGAAGTTTGGAGAAGGGCTTGGTGTAGAGGAACAGGGTGGATTCTGTTTTGAATTCGTGGATTTGTGTTAGTGATCGGATATCTCTGCAGAACTGCCTAGCAGGCAGTGGATGGTACCTGACTAGGGTTGAGGAGACGGAGTGGAGCTGGACATGTATGTTTGGGATTCATTTGCCAGAAAAGCCCCTAATTGTTGCTGACATCCCTGAAGGGGAGAGCACCTGGAGAGGGGAGGGGAAGAGTTCTTTAGGACACAGAAGGAATCGTCCAGTGTCTATGGGGACAATGAGAAGAGCAGCGTCTTGGGAGCTCTTGGAGGAAAGAGTGTGCCGGAGGAGGGAGCAGGTGGTTAACAATGTCAGAAGCTGCAGAGAAGTCATGGATGATAAGGATGGAGAAAATATCATTTGATTGAGAAGTCAAGAAATTATTGGTAAACTTGGAGAGAGCCATTTCATGTAAATGGTGGGGTTTGAAGCCAAGTTGCAAAGGATTGAGGCACGAGTGGGAGAGGAGAAGGTGAAGACAAGTATAAATAGCTTTTTCTAGGATTTTGGCTGTGAAAGGGAGGAAATCATATGAAATGATAGCATGAGGGGATAGCAGGTTCAAATGAAGGTTTGCAAAGAATTTGAAGACTTGGTTATGTTAGTCAGCAGGAGGAAAGGAGCTAGTAGTTGTGAGGCAGTGGATAGAGTGCTGGGCTCAGGAAGCCCTGAGTTCAAATCCAACCCCAATTACTTATTAGCTGTGTGACCACGGGCAAGTCACTTAACCTGTTTGTTTCAGTTTCCTCAACTGTAAAATGGGGATAATAGTAATAGCACCTACCTTGTAGGGTTATTGTGAGAACCAAATGAGATAATTTTTGTTAAGTGCTTAGCACAGTGCCTGGCACATGGTAGGTGTTTAATAAATGCTTATAGATAAGGAAAGATTGAAGATGAGAGGGCATAATTGTGGGGCTAAGCTCCTAGAGGATATAGTAGATGGGACCAAGGGCCCAGGTAGAGGTGAGGAACAAGGCCACCTGTTTCTCAGGAGCTGGAGCAAAGGAGAGAATGGGGTATAATATGGTAGGTTTTCAAGTGTCAGGTAAAGAGGAAGCTTTGATTCATGTAGAATGACCTTAATTTTCTTAGTAATGTAGGAGTGAAGGTCCTTTGCTAGGAAGAAGGGGAGTTGGAGTCATGAAGGGGGGCCGAGTGCGAGAGGGAATTAGTTAGCTCAAAGCAAGAGGATTGAAGCAGTGAGGGCCAAGTCAAGATTAGATATTACAGAATTGTAGTGGACCCAGTCAGTACCTTTGTGAGACTTTCTACCAGTATTTGAAGGTACTCAGGTAGGAGTAGAGAAGGCAGGTGGTTGGGAGTAATACAGATTTGGGATCTGGCAAGATGTTGGGGGCAAATAGAGTGAATTTGCCGCAGATAAAAAGATAGAGTACAGTGTATGACTGAACTCAGTAACCGTATTCATGACTGTAAAGGGAGCAAAGTGTGGCCGAAGCAGCGCTGTTGGACCGAGAGGATGGGGAGGGGGGAGGGCAGGGGGACGAGAGCTCGTTGTGAAGATAAAAATAGGCTCAGGAAAAACAAGGCAGAGGCCACAGAGGAAGGATACCTGGCAGGTGATGATCAGAGAGAATTCTCAGGATTCTGGGTCGTGGAATTAGCACATAGCATGGCCTGTGGTGAGAACAGAGACCTGACCATCCCTGTGGGTGGTGGAGGGAAAGTGAAGACAGCAAGTGGGAGGAGAGGCCCAAATGTGAGAGCAAAGGAAGAGTGAGCTAGGTACTGACCCCTCTGAGGCATGGTGGAGGGGTGCATGCGGTGTCCCTCTCTGATGAAAATATCCTGGCTAAAATAAACACACTCTTGAGTATTCTTATTTAGGAAAAAGTAAGCTGTTTTCTTCGCTGGATAATGAGATCACTGCATCTTAAAATGAACTTTTGGGATAGCTTAAAAGAACATTTTTAAAAGTTTAATCTCTTTTAAAATTAGATAATTATTAACAGATGCTCCTTTGCCTCTTTTTTCTACAAATTAACAAATATTAACAAACATGAACATTTTAATATGCAAAAAAGAACAGAAAGAGGATT